TTAGTTTCTGAAATACGTACATAGGAGCCCTAGTGAGCCCTATTATTTATCTGCAATCCAGTGGCCTTGCACAACATAGGCAGAGACAGTATACTCTGTATCCACAACACATCTATGACTTTGTTCAGTGTTTGGTTGTGTCTTTCAGAGCAACCCTTGAAGATCTGGGTTAGAATTGGTCTTCAGCAACCCATGCTTGTCGTAAGAGGCGACTGACGGTATTGTGTGGTCAGGCTTGCTCAGTGGAAGTGGAAGTGGTTGGCACATGTCATCGAATACCCAATTGTAAAGATTGATGCTCATGCTGTTGATCACTGGATTTTATGTCCAGATATGATTTACATATATCTGGAATATTGCTCAGTGTGGCGTAAAACTAAACTCACTCTAACAAATTGTCCTGACTGAAAGTTCATAGCATATTTTGTAGTTATATAGTGTATGATGATACTCATTTGGTAAATTAGTTATAAGTTATTTTCTGGTCATTAATGAATATGCAATTGAAGTTATGAAAGGTGAATTTAAGTTTATAGGAATTGTATTCACATGTTTTTGCATATGTATGAATATGTATATCTAAAATTGGGTGTGCACAAATATGCCACAACAATATTCCTTGTACATGAGCTTGAAATTATTTTATTGATTGACAATTAAGCTTGTAAATGTAAAAAGGGATGTGCACAAATTGTCACAACAATATTCCTTGTGCATGGGCTTGAAATTATTTTCTTGATTGGCAATTAAGATGAAACTATTTTTGGCACATTGATACCTGTACAATGTGAAGGTTGGTTTATACACGGAAATTGTTGTTTACAATATGTGATTGTCAGCCTGTCCTCAGCAGTTAGGTTCACTACCGGTATATTTATTCAGGTCCTGTACTGCTTACCTGGTCCACCCACAACCCAGACCTGGAGGATGTGTTATAGGTATTGATCTTGTATTTCATTAGTACCGTGTTAATGAACATACCAACAGTTAATGATGATTGCTGTTTGAATTTGGACTGGAACGATGGTGGTCCAACTGTTACAAAGCAGGGTGAATGTGGACTGGGATGATGGTGGTCCAATAGTGAAGGCCTAGTGGTCTAGCCTCACATAGGAAGGTGAACATGGGTACAACTTGTGAAGCCCATTTCTGGTCTATTGTCCGAATGGTGTTAAACCATATTCCAATATAGGAGTTCATGTGTGTCAGTATACGTTAATGATCAGAGGTATTCTTGCTTTTGCTTTTCTGTCAGTGGTGTTCAATCCAGTGTTTAAGCTACCGGTAATGATATTATGCCAGTGTAGGTTTTGTGCAAGGAAACACAACTGTTTGGAGACACTGGTATGTATGACAAGTTGTGCGCGGTGACTGTTGTTTGTCAGTGTTACGATATTGAAGTTACCATATCCTAGTGGTTTGACTGTTGTTATGATATCTTAGTGCTATGACTGTCATAAGTCTATGTTTCAGTATAGGAGTTGTGATCACCTTAGTTGAATGGCTGTTATTAATCTGTGTTACGGTTTCAGAGCTATAATTAACTTAGCGGTAAAACTGATGTTAGACTCTGTTACGGTGTCAGAGTTATGACCCCTAAGCATTACGACAGTTGTTTTTCTGTGTTATGGTATGGGAGTTACGATCATCTCATACCCAAGGTCACTTTATAGAATTTCACTCAGGTCATTAAAGCATCTCCAAACCAGTGCCACAAATCATCCAGCATACATATACTAAGTGGTCATTACTGTTACATATTTTGTGTATCCCTGTCCAGAGGAGTTGTAGAACACAATAAGGTGGTCATGTCGGCCATGTTGTCTCTGACCCATCTCTGTCCCACAAATCATCCAACATGAGTCTACTTGAGTGGTGATTACTGTTACATACTTTATCTTTCCCATTCTAGAGGAGCTGGAGTACACCACAAGGTGGCTATGACAGCCATGTTGTTGACACCCTGACAGACATGGTACCGCTTGTTTCAAGAAGCATGATTACACAATGCCATTTTAGAAAGTGGTCAAATGTAACACTGTACCCGCTCAGCCACCACGACTTCCAAGAAGCATGTTTGACAATGGAAAGACAGCTTTGTCTGCTGCTTCATGACACAAAGTTACTCCTTTGCCACAATTAGCTTGTCACCAGACAGATATATAGGTCTGCCTGTAATTAGTCCTTTATCTGTCATGACCCTGGGTGTGATAAGCACTAAAATGTCCAGTGTGGCGATTTTGTGTCAGCCATTGTCTCTGCGTCTGCCTGGTGTTACCATTTGTCTTGCCCGTGTCTCCAGTAGCAGTCCATTGTCGGACCAGTTGACTCCATGTGGCTGTCTGTTGTCTGTTGTCTGATCCAATGTCTCCACGTGGCTGTTTGGCTGTCCAGGAATGATTTTGTCACTCTAGCAACCCACTCACATTCATTTACATGTAACACTGCTCTGTGGGCGAAAGAGATTGATCGTTTTAACAATCTATTCTGAGAACCTATTATTAGCTGATGCTTACTTTCTGAACAATCTTTGACAATAAATGTGTACACAGAGTGTAATAGATGTGAATTGATACTTACAAAAGGCAAAAATATGACTTTACAATTCCCTTAACACCATTTTACTTTCAAGGTACTTTGCAAAGATGTAAGGAAACATAGAGAAAATCTCACCCAAGTGTCTTCTGATATCAATTATATCAACACGAGTTGATAAAGTTACAAATATCAGAGGCTTGCCCAGGATATTTTAACTTTTATCAAGGAGTGTTGATATATTTCATATGAGAAGACACGAGGATGAGATTCTATTTATCATCCAAAATCACTTTTCATTAGTTTTCAATGAAAAATGTACATCTCTAAACACTGTATTACCATTAGACTTGCAGTGCAGCAATGTCATAGCATTATGACCTCATCAAGTTGATGACGTCATGGCATTGTCGGGGCATTGTACAAAATCTACTGTCTAACGATATCTCCTAGGAGATATCGTTTGATCTCACACAAGCGATATCTCCTGTGGAACACAGTTTTGGATGATAAATCTTTTCCTATGTTTATCTAACAGTCCAACTGTCTTCAGGTCAATATGTTGATAATATGTTGTACCTGCCTGAATAATACAGATTATCAAGTTGTGTAGGTCAATATCACCATTAATGAATATTGCATTCAAAAAGTTAATATGTGTCTCATAATAAGTTTTTCAGTTGATTAACCTAGTTGACAAATGTCCTAGATTTTCATGTTTTAAATGTCTCAGACCTAAGTCTTCAGGCTTTCTGTCATCATTAAGCTGACACTGTGATGTAACTGAAATTTTGTTCAAAGTGACATTAAACAAGCCACCATTCAGTTTATTTGGTTGTGAATATTTCTACATTTTGTGTTGCCATTTGGTGTTGGGAAAGTTTTAAGCAAATATTATTTTGGACCAAATTAGTTCATGGAAGAGATAAGGTGAATTTTAAGTAGGAGATAGAGCTGAAGATGGACACAGAAACATCTTTGTTGATCAGTTTATCTCCAGGTTTGTGTGTTTCTATCGACAATGGTATGCATGGGTTGATTCCCTCTCCTGTGAGCTGCCTGTGCAACATGGCCGCCCCCTCATCCATCACACGTCTGCTCCAGGGCTGAGGGTTCGTGAGGAATGTAAGGTCCTTATTATCAATGTCACCCCAGGCTGATGGAGTGAATAAGTTTGATATAGATTCATTCCTCTTGTCATTGTTCTCATATTTATGTTTCTTGGAATGTTCTTGACTGTCATGTTTCAAATATCAAACTCTCCAGTAATGTGACAAATATTTTTTGTTTCCTTAGAAATACAATACTATAAGCACCATGACTATTTATGACCAGTATTGTAAACTGAGGTGTGACCATTTTATGCATATATAAACTCAAATATAAGTTTTTCATTGTGTAAGGCTAGAATACTGATGAGTGAGTGAGTTGGGTTTTACGCCGCTTTTAGCAGTATTCCAACAATGTCACGGCGGGGGACACCAGAAATGCGCTTCAGTCATTGTACCTATGGGGGAATGAAACCCACTTCTTCAGTGTGACGAGCAAACACTTTAACCACTAGGCTACCCCACCAACCAGAATACTGATGACTTAAAGACAGCATGGAAGCTGTATGTGTTAGAAGTGTACAGGGATGCTATTTTTATATTTCAGCTAGTTATACAGATTCAGACTAGTCGTTAACATAGTATATTTGGGAAACATCTGCTGGTGGTAGTATTAGTCCAAGGAGTGATGTTCCCATTGGAATCTGAGTGAAACAAAAATCTTTTGGAATCAGGATTATCTTGGCGATATTTTTTTTAAAATGAAGACTGAGTTCACAATTTCATAGAAATATCCCTAAACATATTCCTGATCCCTGCCCTTATTGTTCAGTGAAGGGTGGTGGGGTAGCCTAGATGTAAAGGTGTTCGCTGGTCACACCGAAGACCCGGGTTCGATTCCCCACATGGGTACAATGTGTGAAGCCCATTTCTGGTGTCTCCTGCCGTGATATTGCTGGAATATTGCCAAAAGCTGCGTAAAACCATTCTCACTCATTCATTCACTCACTGTTCAGTGAAGTGGCCTGTTCGTCAATCCTTCCGATAAGGGAGATCCTAGGGTCCATAAATTCCATATTACTATATTTGAATATTGGCATCTCCTAAAACTTAAACCTTTAATGTTAAAACAGTGATAAGGACTTCTCGATGTGAATAATGTCAAACACTGTAATGGATTAAATAATATTTTAGCTGGTAGACCAAGTCTTTGGACTTGCAGACTTTTTTTGTGTCTATCCCTAGCTTACTCTAGTCATCTTGTTATCCTGAACCAAATGTGCTTCTAACCTCTCAGAGATAGAGTTGTGCTTAGCTGTGATGAATATGACTGAGTCCCTAAGCTGGACACATGCCCCATGTCTTGTTGTATAACATCTCGTAACATATACCTATATATCCACTTGTGCATTTCAGATGTGACAGTGACAGGTTGGGTGTGACGTTTCCGACGGGGAATGCTTGATCTATGTCGCATGACGTGCTGGAGGAAGTACACACAGATCACATGACCTGCTTGTCGTAGGAGTGATGACAGCATTATGACAGCACTGAATCGGAGAGCTGTGACGGTATGACAGTTGAAGTCAGTGCAGGAAGATGATACGTGTCTTGTGTCTCCCATTGCTAGTGAATACAGGATTTATACACTATGCTTTCCCTTCATGACCTAGTGCCGGAGATATGTGGGCTTTTTTTTAGGAGGATTTATTACTGAAAGAGGATCATTTCCAGTTTGTTAATTTGTGTTTCTTTGGAAGAATTGTGCACTTGATGTGTTGAATATCTGTTTTTACAATGTTTGACATTTGTGAGGTGTCAGATTATCCAAGTATGGTTGCTAGGAAACAATGATGGAGTTAAAAGTTTGGGTGGACGGGATCCAGCGAGTGGTGTGCGGGGTTACCGTGGATACCACTTGCCAGGATGTTGTCATAGCGTTTGCTCATTCTATGGGACGCACAGGTCGATTTACACTGATCGAAAAGTGGCGTGATGTGGAGCGACCTTTGACCCCTGGAGAGCACCCGTTAAAGGTGTTGCATAAATGGGGAGAATATTCGTCAGAGGTGAAACTATTTTTGTGTCAATCTGAAACTGAAAAACTGAAACAGAGAGATCGACATAAACAACCTGACAGATTCACACACAACTTCTCTCCGCCAAAAACACAATCGGAAAATGTTGTCAAACGCAATCTGACATTCAGTGGTGCCCACAATATATCATCCAGTCGTACCAGCCTCATTCCTGCGAACTTGAAAAGAGGAACTTTGTTAGAGAATGGCATCAGTCCTCGGTCATCATCTCATTCCTCGTCCTCATCGACAAGGTCATCACCCCATCCTGTTCCAGCGCCAAGACAGCACTCCCCGGGGAAACCTACCGAAACCAGCACCCAGACACTCCCCGCTTCACAACGGTCAGATTCCGGCCCTACCTAATAAACCTAGTGTTGTTCGTCAGCCACCATCTAGGTCTATAAATAACCTGTCGCCAGCCAATCACCAATTATCAGTGTCAGCTTTTGACCAAAACAGGGGGGAGATCACCCTCTCCAAACACCCATAGACGCAATTCTCCATCACCTAGTTCCTATGGGAGAGGTTCCTCAATTCATCATCAATTGGACTCACCTTCACCCAGTAGACATAGCACTTACAGTAACTTGAACACAATAACAGCAGAGGAACATAACTTAGATAGCCCAAGACATTCCCACCAGGGGAGTACAGATCTAGAGGAGTATGACCTAGATATTAATTTTCCCGATATTTTACGGGATTCCCAGTGCCCAGAGAGGGCATCAGTGCACACAGAGTACCGACTAGATGATCCACAAAACAGTCAACCAGAACCGGAAAAGGCACGACTCCTCCGTCTTGTGTCGATACAGAAAGAGAGGTTAAAAGTACAAGAATCTCAACTGGATGTCATAGAAACTGGTGAGTAGTCTCCCCTTGAGTAGGTATCAAAGCAATGAAGAGTTTTTGCTCCTTTTTCAGATTTTGTATATGGTCCTAATAATTTGTTGAAATTATCTCAAAATGAGAGCTGAAATGTGGTGTGAATAGTATACCCATGTGAGTTTTTATTAGGCTTGCTCAAAATGTCATTTACTATTACATTTTGGGGTTTTGTAGATAATGATGCTTAAATGCCCAGTTCCATGTGTTCTTCTTCTACGATGTCTAAGACAGGCTTTTCTATATCATGTGTATTACTTTAGACAGGATATATTCAATTCTGTACATGTATTGGCCTGAAATATTTATTTTACAACCATGTTCATCAGTATCTTTATTTGCTCAGTTTCCAAAATTAAACATCAGAGATAACCAGCTCTTAAAGGAAATGGTTCTCTCCATTGACTGAACCGTACAGTATTGAGAGATATAGATGGTAAATATTGATTGATAGCCACTACAATAGTGTGTGGATTTGGATGATAGGAAAACCCTAACTTACAAAGAGCACACTTTTCGAATATAAACAAATGTGATGTACATGAGTAAATACAACAGAATAACAGACAATAGTTGTGCCCGACTTGAGGGTCGTATGTGTGAACAAGAGTTGAGTGGGTTTTGTCCCGAGCTACTTGTGGTGGACTGAGTGTAGAGTACTGATGGGACTTGACTAGGTGATGCTCCTCGAGGGGGACAGAAGGATGTAGGTAAACGCTAGCCGTGAGGAGGAATCGATTAAGGAGATGGTCAAGGTTTTCAATTTGGTCCTTTGTGGTATCGGTGCTCATAATGACTTGCTTCCTTGATTAACCTGGGCTTATATCTCTGATGTGATAGCTTTGTTTGGGAAATGGCTCCACCAACTTTATGACTGATCAATAACTGCCCACAGAAAGCTCACACGCAAGTGGATTTTCATTGAGCAGCATATTGTTATTTAATCAGTTAGTGTTCATTTCTTGTGTCATAAACTTGTTGCTGTTAAATAAAGTTATTTTAATAACATATATCATCTCCATGTCCAAACTGGGTAAAAATGTAATTTCCTCCCATGATGCATTAGGGGCCGGTCACATGACTCTAGTTGCAAACCATGTTACAGATATATGGAAAGCTCCTGTGCTGTCAGTGATGTCACTAAAATCCTTCAAAATCACCCAGATAATGACTTTATATTTACATTTGAAGTAAAAAATAAGTTAAATTTATTGTTTGTGTGTAATCGTCACATACCCCAATACTTCAATACCAATAGGTGGTGAGGTAGCCTAATGGTTAAAGTGTCCACTCATCACGCTGAAGACCCGGGTTCGATTCCCCACATGGGTACAATGTGTGAAGCCCATTTCTGGTGTCCCCAGCCGTGATATTGTTGGAATATGGCTGAAAGCGACAAAAAACAAACTCACTCATTATTAAAGTGTAATAATTTTGAATGCGATGAGAAGCCGATGTCACCTCTTCTCACCTCTTAACCCAATGAAAGTTATGCTTTGTGTGAATCAAATACCTTAAATGTATTGTTAAATATAGTAAGTAAAAGAAGATAAAGCTTAAACCTCACAGTTTTTGAAAATTTGGATAAAAATGTCATAATTAATATTTTGTGGCCAAAGCCAAGAAATTTAGTTTGGATTTCGAAACCAAAACCCGCATTGTAACATTATCATTATTGAAGACATATTCAAAGAGCAGTTTTAAGAAATTTTCAGAAAAATAATACTGGTCTGATGTTCTGATAGTGTATATATGCAAATAATATTCTTATCAAGTCATTGTTGTTGATGTTGACCATATTGATGATATTGAAGGTGATATTAAGTTGATTTGTTTCAAGGCAGCTAGTATTTGTATGGCCCATACACATGATATATTTCCCTTGATTGATGTGTCACTTTAAATCCTGTGCATCAATCATTTTTATTGCATATTAAAATAATATTTTGAAAATTTCCCTGTCAAGTGAATCATACCATTATCCATTTAATGACATGCTTGACAACTGACATTGTAATCAAGGAGGATATTCAGTGTGTTCCCACTTGTGTAAGTAAGGATTGTTTTGGAGAAGACAGTAAGAAGTGTTCTTCACATGTCAGGTTTCTTTTCAATAAAAGTTAAATTCCTCCATCAATTAGGGCCAAAGAAACATTAAAACATTTATGCATCTTAACCTAGTTTTACTGCTTTTGACGACCGCCTCATGATCAGTTGTGTAATGGTTAGAGCGTCAGCCCAGAGAGCGGAAGGTTGTGGGTTTGATCCCCTACCGCGTCATACCAAAAAGGCATTAAAATATGGTACCGGTACTTGTTGGTCCCTGCCTGGCGCTCGGCATTAATGGGTACAACAAGGACTGGTCGACTTGGAGTCAGTATAATGTGTCTGGGTGGGGTATTCATGCTTCACTGCGGCATGGTATCTCAGTGGGCTAGCACTATAAAACCAGCTTAAGTCTGGGCTAGTACAAGCAGCCGCACATACACATACACACGCATGCACGTCGTCATATGAGCGAAATATTCTCAAGCACGACGTTAAACCCAATTCCACCTCACCTCCGCCACCTACTGCTTTTTACAGTGTCCACTTGCTTGACTTCAATTCATGTGATTTATTGTTTTCACTGTTATCATTTTTCATAATATTTAAAAATGTGAAAGAATAAAAATTCAGTTCGGAAATGTTAATGGTAATGATGCTAAAATTATGCAAATTTTAACAGTATAACCTTTACATCTGATTTGATATTCTGTTGGGGTCGGCATTACAGTAATTTAACACCACACTGAGAATACAACTCATTGAAGGCTCACACGTAATGGCCATTGTCATTTTGTGTGTGGAAATATATTCAATTATTAATTAGTTGTTAATCCAATTGAATGTTAATGGCAATCGTTACTCGACCTTGACACTGATGTTCCATGTTTGATGAAGGACTTTGATCTGATCTGAGACATGTTAGTTCATGTTATGACCGTAGAATGGAAACCTGGTCTGTCTCACAGCCCCTGAAATATACTATATTCCAATCTGCCTAGACTTTAATCTAATGCTGTTGTCTTGAAGGACCAGGCAAGGTACCACCTATCAATGTCTATGGTATGACTTGATGACTGGTTAGGGGAGTGACCGAGACTAACGTTTAGTCCCTGAATATATATAATTTTGATAGTAGCAAATAAACCCATTTATATTGAAAAGGAGCCCCAGAGAGACCAGAGAACCTGAGGAAATCTAAACTTGCATCATGTAGGGCTTTAGCATTGCAGGGAGGGCTATGCATTGGGGAAAATAATGTGGTTCAGGGACTGTGAGACAGACTAGGAGTGACCTTGCAATATTCTTTCTATGGATAGTTACTAAAGGGAAACATAAAACCTGCTTTACACAGCAACTTTATGATTCATTACTCCAACTAACATCTTTAACATGATAAAAGATGCATTTTATCTTTTATTTGTTAATAATTAAAGAATATAGTTTCACACATGGTAAAACCTAAAATTATTAATCTACTTCTTGAAATGAAAGTACTTAACAGAAAATAACTAGTTGTTAAATTATCTGCATAAGATTGATAAAAGGAGTCTTGATCTGCCGTTCTAGATTTGACAACTTTTATAGACTTGCATGGGCTTTATTTAATGGATTCGTTTCAGGATGTGTATGACAGATTAATGATTTATATTGGTACAGCTTACCTAAGTACATGTAGATCAAATTGATGAACAAGGTTAGCCTGTCTCACAGTCCCAGAAAATTATTCTTTGCCCTTCTCCTAGTTCCTACTGAAATGCTAAAGCTATTAATGAACCTCCTTGCTCACACTTCTTTTCAGTTTAAGTGGAGCTGCTTGTTTCTATCAAAATTATATATTTTCTGAGACTAAACTTGAGTCTAGACTAGATACAGCAGCCCTTGGGGGAACCTTCTACAACAGATGGGTATCTGTGAGCTCTCATACATTCTTCATGTCCCTATCTGAAGCCAGTTATCTATTATACATATTTATCTCCAGCTTTCTCACATGTATTTTGAATAATACATTTCCTGGAGAAGAAACAGAATATAATTTCTTACCGAGAGGATTTCATAATGTGAAATGCACAGGACATTTTATAATATCCCCAATAAAATAAATTGCTCTGACAATGCAAACAATTCATGCAACCTAGAATTTTTATCCAATTAAATCATCATTACATGTCAGACACTTGGGATTTATGTTATTCAAAGGGCCCAAATCAGGCAAAATGTCATTTTCATCATATACTGATCAGTATTTAACTTTGAGTGAGTGAGTGAGTGAGTTTAGTTTTACGCCACACTCAGCAGTATCCCAGCTATATGGCGGTGGTGTGTAAATAATTGTGTCTGGACCAAACAATACAGTGATCAACAGCATGAGCGTCGATCTGCGCAATTGGGAACCCGATGATATGTGTCAACCAAGTCAGCGAGCCTGACCACTCGATCCTGTTAGTCGCTTTGAGATCTTAATATATCATGTAATATGTGTTTAATCTGTCTCAAATTTTCTTCCACGCAACCATATTTTGAGTTCTCAAAATCCATACCTAATGCACCGTAAAAAATACTGGCCTTGTTTCTGTGTAAATGCGCCTCCTCCCAGATAAAGGGGTCAAATGTAACACATTATATTTAGGATTACATTATCTCAAAAAGTACAGAATCTAGTATTTTGTTTTGTTGTGTCCCATTTTGGATTCAGACCAGAAGCTGTGGTGGATGAATGGGTACGATGGCTGACTTTGTGTGCTGTTGATTAGGTGCCAGGGCCTAGACTTTCAAGGCGCTCTTAGTGCTAAGATAGACGTAAGTTAACGTTAATGTATGGCACTTATGGGGGCGGTGGGGTAGCCTAATGGTGAAAGCATTGGCTCGTCACGCCAAAGACCCGGGTTCGAATCCCCACATGGGTACAATGTGTGAAGCCCATTTCTGGTGTCCCCCGCCGTAATGTTGCTGGAATATTGCTAAAAGCTGCGTAAAACCAAACTCAGTCAGTCAGTCATGTTGTTGTCAGTCGGGGTGACACAGCACAACAATACAACCTTTCAGAACAATGTTGACCTTTCATTACATTCAAGCATCCTACATTCAGTACAACTAATTATAGGGCTTTGACTGTTACAGGACTTAAGTGACTTTGAGTGACGTTTTGTTGATGTTAATTTTGGCAAAGTAATTATCGGTGCTGTTTGGCTTCACGAGTTGATTTGATAATTGTGTGTGTGCTGTTGACGTATGACTACACATTGTAACAACTAGAATTTCATTGTGTTAGTATAGGGTGTGACATGTAGTTGAACTCTCAGTGCAAAGCAGTTGTCCATGACTTGCTTGTTGATGGCAGTACAAATTATACATTGATGAAAGGTTGGAATATCAGTACTTTACAATGAGTCATAGTCACTTCTCTGAATTTAATATTGTTTTGCTTAGAAGTTAAATCTAATTCTCACTTGAGTGATTTGGCAAGTCAAGACTGCCAATTGGCTTTTAAATTTTTGAATAAGATAACTCTTTTTGTAGGACTTAATTTTAACCAAAGAAAGTTTGGATGAAACCATGTGATAAATCAGTGGGACTGATTGTATATGGTGCAGATGAGCCAAATTTTTTAGGACCAAAACAGCATTCTGTAGGAAGGGGTCAGCCTATCTGAAGGTTACACTTTTATCAAACTGGTTTTTTTTCTGTTGTTATGTATCTAGAACTGTGTCTAGTGTACTTGTTAGTCTGTCATACCCTGAAGCAAATATATCAAAGAAAGCCCACACAGTCTAGAAAATGTGGCAAGTCTAGATTTCCACAATGAAGAAAGTCTCAGGGCTCCTTTTCATTATTATTTTGTTTTTTACTATGAACTTTTTTCTGTAAAATATTTTCATTTCAGAGACTAGTTGTTAGTCTTTAAACTTGTTTACAAGATAGCAAACACAGTTAATAATAAGGGTGCAATGCCTTGGGACTGTCATCATCATCATCATCATCATCATCTAACATCAGTAGGCAAATGGAGGCAATTGTGAAAAATAAGCCAACTCTTTATATATGGTATAACTGCTGTAGGCTGTAGTGCAGTTAAGTGCAGTGAGAGTTGTCCTGATCTGCTGACACCATTGTGTGTTTCGTGAATGTGGCATTGCGTGCTGCCATCAGTTCTTTATTGCTTTTCTAGAAATTCAGTTCATTCGCAACCACATGGCATGTTTATTGTTTATTATTTACTATGGAATGTAAGAAATGTACAATATACAAGCCATGCTCTCATAACAGATGTTTGTTATTTTGTTTTGTTTCATGTTTTGAGTTTCAAGAGATGAGGCATGCAATGTGTGAAGTGCAAAGATAATATGTTTTGGATATGTTTTAGAGAAAATAGTACCTTCATGATAGTGATATTTTGTAATAGACCATTGAGTGCATGAGGGTCATTGTGTCAGTATAAAAGTCATTAATGAAGCGTTGTGTGGCAGATTTACATGTTGAATTGATCTTCCTTTATCCTCATGTCTCCTTGTATATACATTATACATGTTCAAGCATTTCTTGAAAACAAACTCGTGAAGATCCGGGTTAGAATCGATCTTCAGTAATCCATGCTTGTCATATGAGGTGACTAATGGGATTGGGTGGTCAGGCTCGCTGACTTTGTGGACACATATAATCTTATCCCAATTGTGTAGATCGATGCTCATGCTGTTGATCAGTGGACTGTCTGGACCAGACTTGATTATTTACAGACCACTGCCATATAGCTGGAATATTGCTGAGTGCGGTCGATGACTAAACTCACTCACACTTGAAAACAAAAATTTATGAAGCCAGTTCTAGATATTCAAAAACTAAAACATTTGTAATTATTATAAATCTGATGTGATTAATACTGTTTGCAGAGATTGTGTCGCTGGAGGAGAAGGAGAATGAGTACGAGAGTAACTTCCAGAAGCTGACAAATGAACTTATTCAGTTGGAACAGAGGGAACATGACGATGAAGTCGAACTGACGGAGATTTCATCGATTCAGTGGATAGATGTTCTTGATGTTGCTCAGAAAACTGAAAAGCGTTTAAATGGTGAGATCAGTGATCTCAAGACGAGACTTGGTGAGCTAGAAACTCAGCTGTCATCACAGCAGGCACGATTGACAGAGTTGGAGGGTGAGGTTGTGACGGCTCAGAAAGCGAGAGAAGAACGAGAAAAAGAAGCAGAACGTGTGAGACAAGCAAAGGAGACCCAGTGTAAGACAGACATAGAAGACATGAACAAGGAACTCCAAAAGGTGGAGGAAGAACAAGAGAAGGGAAAGAAGGAACTGGAAGCGTTGGAAGGAGAGATTGCCAAAGTGGAAAAGTTGCTCAAAGTGAAAGAGACTGAGTTCGAAGGCCTAGAAGGAGATCTGAAAAAGGTCAACTTGCAGGAATTTGGTTCTCAGTCATTATCCCCAACTCTTGGCAAGTCAGCAGACAGTGGAGAGAGTAAGTTGAAACTAGTGAGAAGCTTTAGGAGCAGTTGCCAAGTAGGTTTAATATGTCTTGTTGTGACCATGGCTGCAGTTTGATTCCCATCATTGGTAGAATGAAGCCACATCTTGGTGTCTCCTTGCCTTGCTATATTTTTTGAAGTCAGATTAAATTATTTCATTTGACCCTGAGTAATTTTATTCTAATGATGTTCTAAGTCATGAATACCAAAACTCAAGCATTATATGTATTTTTATGTTGAGCAGCATGTGGGATGAGTTCTTGTCTGGTGCAACAAGGTACTCCCTTAGGTTGCACTATGTGCAAGTAGGTTTATTTGCTTAAATCGAGTCCTGATCATATATTTTATAACATCTGTGAGAGAGACCAGTATCTTATGTTGCCTGTTTCTTCTTCTAGCTGTGTTGAAGATCCTGGAGGGCCGCCTCTCCCCACGCCCGTCCATCAGCCCCAGCACACCGACACAGCAGGCCTTCATCAACGCCCTGGCCAGCAAGAACCCTAATGGAGTCTGGGTGTAGTAGTCACTGGAACTCACAAGATGCACTGCCACACCTTGTACAAGTGTAGCGCCTAGCTTGTACAGCTAAGCATGCAGGGGTCAAACATTGCAGTATCCATTCAAGTTCAGTTCTTCACAAGTCTAGTGCTAAGGGTTTATGCTTGGTTTACAAATGTACATTGCAGTCCTCAATCATGGGCACCATACAGACATTGCAATACTTGATGCGAAGTTCCAAACCAGCAACATCATGAAAGCAATATGACCTGTCTGTGTACTTGTTCCATAATGTGATCATAGCTCTGTGAGAGTGATACGATTCATAGACTGATGATGGCAGCTCATGATAGTGATAGCAGATGCATTGTGGGCCTGTTTCTGGGGTGATGACTCTCCCTTGTGTGAGGTAGAAAAACAATCTAGGGAGGCTGTGGTTGTTGTTGCTCAAGAACTTGATGGTGTCCGGAGCATACAGCATCTCAACTCGGTGCGGGGATAGTAGGCGTAAAGCTTCCAGAGATCATTCATCAATGACTCCTGAGAGATCATTTACAAGATTCACCAGGTGATCAGGAGAGTTCAACATAAACGGATTATTCACAAGTGATTTACGAGAAAACTTTCAGAGGAGATTTAACACAAATCATCAACTGAGATGGCTCAAAAGATTATATACTGTCACCATTGAGAAGAGATTCAACAGAGATTATTTAATTAGAGTTCCTTCAAAATCAGTGATTCACACAATAACCAAGAGACTGGGCTGCTCTGTACAGATTTAGCTCTATGTGCTGTGGTAATGGGACCTAACATGTCAGTATCTTCTTCATCAGAACCGTTATACAATCTTACCCAAGACTTGCATTTGTTCCTGGACCTATATCGGATCCTGCCTCCCATGGGGAGGTTGCCTTCCCAGCCCTGCTAAGTGTGATGGGTAAAACTGCATCTGGTTGTGAACTGTACCTATGCTCATTAACAATATGTTACTCCTGTGAATAGTCTGTATCTTGAGTTGTAATGTGTTACAGCACACAGAGGGACTTATTTTTGTAACTTGTTACACATTAAGTGATAAATATGGTGTATGAGATGTGTAAAACAAGCCTTTTGTCGAAGATACCATGGACTAGCATTTATTTTCAGTTTGTGTCTTCACATCAGCATGTTAGGATGAGTGTCAACATACTCAACATGTGATTAGTTTGCGTCGTACTGTAAGAGATTGTGAAACCTTTGCCCTAACTGCTTTAGCTGCTAACACTATTAGAAGTATTTGTACTGAGAAAAGGAGATAACTTTGAGGGTAGGGATTTTGAGAGTGACTTCTATCTTTAACTTGTCTATAAAGTTCTATGATCATTAAAATTATGAGTGGCATTGACCAATAGCAACCAGGCATTGTAAAATCTATTATGTATTTGTTTTTAGAAATGGAGAAAACTTTGAGGGTAGGGATTTTGAGTGTGACTTCTATTTTTAACTTGTCTAGAGATATGATCATTTATGAGATTATGAGTGACCAATAGCAATCAGGCATTGTAAAATCAATTATATCAATTATTTTTCTTTTGAGTATGGTTTCTATGGTTTAATTATAAATCTTTACAATATTGTTCAAGAAAATTAAAATTTTACAGTTGAATTTAAGACTTTAAAGAAATTTGAGTGTTCATCATAACCGCCTGATTATTGTATTGAAAAGGTTTGAAAGAAATGGCTGCTTTTGTAGATGCCTGTTGATCTGGGTACCGCAAATGAGCTCAACTCACTTAGTTTGCTTAAATGTTTTCTTCAAGTGTTGTTTCTGAAGTGCTAATATTTTATGTATTTTTCAGTTTTTTCCCATCGCAGTGACAGGAACTTTTATATGACTTGCCTATAATTTTAGGATGATGTCCCCTATGCCAGATATTTAATTGTCAAAGAAAACATTACATTTGAATTCATATGATATCTGGACATTCCTATTGAATGACCTTCCGTGTCAAATAATATATATTCCATCAGAAGGTGCAAATATCATCTTTACAATTTACTTCATGAGCATTTCAAGTCATATGTCTAAAAATGGTGTAAAACCATACTCACCCACAGTTGAAAGTAAACATTAAGGAAAGCCAAATCATCAGTGTACACATACAGTGAACCGTATTTATTTGTTTATCACAATTTGAAATTTCTAATGATTCAAAGGGACACAACTCCATGTAATGGTTTGTTGAAACCACAATAAGATTTCATTATCATACCTCACTTACATTTTGTTCTCCCTAATGTCCTGCCCTTCTTTCTATTCGTGATAAAATATACCATTTACTGTATATTACTGTAGATAAGCCGAAATTTGAGGACCCCAAAAAAGCAGTCTGTTGAATGGGGTTGGTTTATCGTCAGACTTCTTTTCTGGAGGTAAGAAAATGACATTGTATCATTCTGAGAAAAATTACGAGATAGTGTAACAAGAGGATTAACTTCAATATGGATATGTTGACAGAAAGGTGAGTGAGGTTGCTAGTTTGTCTTATGTACAGAACATAGCATTTTGACACTGATTTTAAGGGTCAGGTTAGGATTTCGGCTTATCTATGAGATTGACATATCTATGGTAATGTAGGGTAGATGGTACCGTATACAGAAATAAATGCCACTTACAGAAGAACATATACATATAAGTCCACTGAACATTCCAGCGTCATATGAATCATATCTTCCATCAGTAGCCTTGAAGATTTGGTTAAAAAGTGTTGATTTTTAACAGCAAATGTTCCCTCGGCTTCTCATTCATTAAAATATTGGACTATTTTCTAAAAATTCCTTTAAAGAATGATTTTACTGACATACTACACATTATAATTTTTGCACAGAAATATTCCTTCCAATTTAGCTACCCCATTTGGGGATAAGATGAAAAACGATACATTTTGGGGTACAAACTACATTCCTAAGCCAGTCAGGGTTTTCATACCATTTTCTGCATCTTGTCCATTTGCTTTGAATTTAAATGATACAACCAGGATTGAATTTACATTGACATTTATAATTATTTTTTTTCTTGAAAGTTTAATTTAATAATGATTGCAAAAGAAGTCAAGAATTATGACAAATGAATCTGGTGATTCTGAAACTATGTGTTTGTAATATCTATGACCATGCATTCTTTGCTGAAAGGGTTTGGTACTGCACTGGCACCAATGTTGACTTAACAGGTTTCTTTTACTATTGTAAACTGAATTGTCTTTCTTGATGACCTTGACTTGTGACACTCTTGTCATGCACATTAAATGAAGACGTTTAGGGGGATCTTGTTAGAATTCATAGTGTAGACTTGTCAAGACAATGGTGACAGAGGTAGCTTCTGACGAAAAATATTATTTGAATATTGACATAATAGTAGCAAAGTGATCTCAAGTTCTGATACAGTGTTTGTAAGGTGGATATCTGTGATTTAACAGTTAGAAAAGGGATACTGAATGGAAGACATTACGGCATAAATTGTTATACCGTTGTCAAGCAAGAGTGTTTTTATAACAATAGCAGATGACTTTGCAATGTAGCAGTATAAAATAAGGAAAATTCAAGAGAGCATATGTTCTTGGAAGGGAGATATACACATGTATGTCAGTCAAAGGGGAATAACTCATGATGTTGTTGGAGAAAAACTTTCACTCAGCTTCATTAGCCTGCTACTATCATCTCCGACAAGGAACTATTACCAGTCCTGTTGGACAGTTGTTAAACTTGCTCTTTTTATGAAATGGGGCTTGCGTACGCTCCGTTAATGTATTTTGTATCATTAGCTCAATTTCATTTTGTTTAATTTTTTTTTACAGTTTCCGTCGTCCACGGTCCATTTGTGGCAAATAATGCAAGTCATTTTGCATCATTTTACTTAACTGTACATAAAACACTTCTTTCCTGTTTACATGTTACCTCTACTTAGGAATATCCAATGTCTCAAATGCAATAAGTTGTTTAGCAACTTAGTACAGTTTGTATGCATACTCTCCACACATTTCTATACATGGTTGGGGCTGTGAACCAAAATTTGGATAATTGGCAGGTGAACTTTCTATACCCTAAAAATCTCTCAAATTTGTGAATACGTGATGAAATGTTTCTGGAAATTAAAGTGCACTTACATGATTCTAAATTTGCCTAAATTTATGTAGATTCATTTATCACTGTCGTTACACAAATAGCCTGCTTCACTTCAAAGTTCACTTGAAAGAAATTGCATTTGGATTGTTTTTAAACACGAGGGATCTACAGACATTTATTTATAAAACTTCTTCAGGTCCCCATTTAAGAAAGAAATCTTAAAACAGTAACATCCTATAAGATAAGCACATGCTAATAAGAGCATTTACATTTATATATTGTACTTCTGCAGGGCCCTTTTCAAGATCGAAATCTCAGCTCTAAGAATATCAAAATGCCATACTTTCAGCTACACAAGTGCAATAATAGGACTAAGCTTGCTTTGTGGAGTGGTTTGTGGTGTATGTACCATATCTGTGAACACTGTGTAACTGCTCTTTCTAACCATCAGCTGTATTTATGGATCACTTAAATGATTTACATATTTTATAGCTTCCAGGGAGAAAGATCTTGTGTATAGTGATGATTGTGTTATGTTTTACTTGTTTATGTGTGCATCTGGATTGATATTACCAGCTTGGCCAAGATCAAACCTATTTATGTTATATTTGGTTATTATCAAGACAACTTGTACAAGGGTCATTAAACTGTCGCCAGAAGTTTATCCCACGCTCACTTGTACATTCAGTCTCATTGCTTGCTGTAGAGGTGTTAACTAGGACAATATTTACTAACATTTAGTGGAAAGGATATTTTAGGAGACAGTGCCACTGTACAAAGCAACCTTTGCTATGATTGTAAGTCTGTACTAAGTATTGGGGCTACAATCATCTTAGCGCTAAGGGCGGTGGGGTAGCCTAGTGGTTAAAACGTTGGCTCGTTGCTGGAATATTGCTAAAAGCGGCATAAAACCTAAGTCAGTGAGTCTTAGCGCGCTAAGATCGCCTTGTATGACACCCTGGACATATTCGTTGTCGTAGTGGATGAGGTTTTGCCAAATTTGGCTGAGATAAAGGCAGATAACTCCAATATGTGTTTGCATGAAAATAACTTTATATTATCTTTTGATATTTGCTCAAACTACAAAAGTTAACTCAAAATCTGTCTCTTGGCAGTTGATCAGAAAAATCACCTGAAGAAATTGTATCAATCTAGGTCCCGATCCACAAAGCTTTCTTATCGCTAAGACATTCTTAAGCCTATGGTAAACTATAGAGTTACAACAAGTCGGAACATTACAAACACTCTGTTGATCGGGACCCTGGTCTTTATAACATTGTTTTTGATTCATGTCATGGGATCTTTGTACAGGTTGTCATTCCCTGGTTGTGTTTCTAGTCGAGACCTCTGCTCTTCTGATTCATACCTCGCCTAGTGAGAAATGTGAAACATGTTGTATCATGCTTAGCACAGGCATAGGCGAGCCTATTGTACCAGTTGCTGGGCAGTTAGGTAATAATGCAGTCTATAGTAAAAATAATGTTAGTAATAGCTGTTTAACAGGAGCGGGGTGAATGGACCTCTGACTATGTCATATGCATGTATAAGGTGTTTACCTCTTTTTATGGCACTGCAGGTACTGCTGGTCCCGTGTTCAAATCGCAGATTAAACCTGATCATGGTCTGTCAGCACCAGGGGCAGTGGTGTAGCCTAGTGCTTAAAGCGTGAAGATCCGGGTTAGAATTAATGTTCTGTAACCCATGCTTGTCGTAAGAGGCGAGTAACAGGATTGGGTGGTCAGGCTTGCTGACTTGGTTGACACATGTCTGCGATGTTCGTGCTGTTGATCACTGAATTGTCTGGTCCAGACTTGATTATTTACAGACCGCCGCCATATAGCTGGAATATTGCTGAGTGTGGCGTAAAACTAAACTCACTCACACTCACTCATATTTAGCTCTTCAATCAGAATCCTGGTCGGAAGGTGTCCCTCCGATGCTTTACTCTCAGAGGCAATTTCTACAGCATTAACTCACTGTAGTTTTGTGCGTCATTGTCAGCTGCTTGTTGATTGGCAAGCTATTGGATCAGATTTCAGTGTACATTATATACTAATTGCTTACTTTGACCATTCTGCTACAAATTAACTTGTTGAAAGAATGAGATATTCTGGATGTGATCATCATTTCCAGCTTAAATAAGCCCAACATCAGCAACATAGATCTGAATCTGTCCAACGTTCATCAGACCAAAGAAACAGATTTCATATTCCAGAATAAGTTGAATATTTTGTGAAATTATTCCAAGGTCATATATACTTCTGTCCATGTATTCATATTTGTTTTGAGCACTGGCTCTGATTTTGTATGTAATTTATAACCAAATTTGGTCGTTTTTGTTATTTTGTCATTTACTTTTAACAAATACTACACAGATTTAAGAATAAAAGCCAGCCATAGTAACAGTTGCTTCACTTACTTGTTCCATAATTGCAGTGGACAATGAATGCTGTGAGATATTTTATGAATGTTTCAGGGAATGTTGAGTTGCGCTGGAAATTTGTTTCAGCAATGGTTGTGTTGAAAAGGATTTTAACAGCAGGAGTGTCTTGCAGCGAAACCCAAAGTGCCTAATGTAGATAGTCTGTTATATTATTTATACAACCTGAACCTATGCTATAGGAATGATACTGTAGATAACACTGCAACAACTCTCGACTGTGTATATGTTTAGAGAATATAGTGTGTATATGGCTTCTGTGATTGGCAGAAGTACTTGTTTGTCTTCTGTAAGGATAACACAAGACACTGTTTTGTTGTTAAAATTATTGTTTTGCAAAACAATTGGGATTTTGTTCAGCTTGTCAAAATGACAATTCTTTTGCCCTTCAAACTGCATTCTGCAGTTAAAGATTCCTGTCATATGAATGATTTTGTTTGTCAGTAGAACATCAGAATATCTAAACCAACATATTTTGTAAACATTTCTATACACAATCGAGTCAAAACCCGACGCTCCTAAATTTAGAATAAAGAGTATCTTGTTATATATAATTTATGTAATTAATAAAAAAGGGTTGAAGATCTGGTTTAGAATTGGTCTTCAGTAACCCATGCTTGTCATCGGTGGTCAGACTTGCAGACTTGGTTAACAGGTCATTGTATCCCAATTGCTGGAATGATGCTCATGCTGTTGATCACTGGATTATCTGGTTCAGACTCAAAGACCACTGTCATATAGCTGGAATATTGCTGAGTGCAGCGTTAACAACATCCAAACCAAAGCAATCAAAGGATGTTCTAATTACTGAGTTAGGACTGTTATATCTTGCTTAATTGGTACTAAGGGCACAACATGTACACACAGTCCTGTAGGTCTCCACCTTTGTTATGAAGTAATGACACATAGGGATGTCAGTGTACAGGACTTGTATACTTATCAAAGTAGGCTGCAGTCTGGGAGGCTTCTGGAAAGGGGATAGGTTGTCCACAGGTAAGGAGGCAGTTGTGAAACATGATCTTCCTAAACTTGAGATTTGGCACCAATTGTCTGTGACAGAAGTATGTATTAATGGAACTATAAAATGTGTATACAGCAAACGTTTTTCAACCTTTCATACAAGATCATTTAGATTATGTAAGTTTTGTATGCTTTGTTATATCTCATACTAACTGGGCCTTCCAAACAGCAGTTTTCCAGAAAGCAGGGTGTCCTGATTAAAGGAGTTTCACTGTAACAGCTTGCACTTGCATGGGTCTGTCTTGTAGGTTGATGAACTAGGTGTGTTGTGAAGGGTGGGCAGTTCCAGTGTTTTAATGTTATGACCCGCGTATGATGATGATGATGATGATGATGGTGAATTTCCATGTAAATATGCAGATGATAAGGAACTGTCCACCAACCGAGGGTTTGTGCAATGTAGCTACTCGCTCACAGACCATTGTCAATATGATTTCATTGTAATAAAATCCCTTGTTACAATTGTACTTGTCTTGTTTTCATACTTTTCCACACCTTTACGCCAGACCAATTTGTATTACTTGTTTTACAGATTTTTGTCCTCAGAAAACCTAAAGGCAGGAGGGGAAAATTATAAAGTCACCAGTCAAAGTAATATTCTTTCTAAATACTCAAAGTATTTTACTTTTGGCAATTTATGAAGTGTATATGGGGCAAAAAACAATCTAAAGAATTTTTTCTTGTAAATTTTAATTTTTGGCCCATAAAAAAACATTAGGATTTTATTTTGGGAGCGAGGAAAATAATTTTTTTTTTTTTTTTCTTGTTCTTGAAAAAATACGGCAGGCGGATCCGTAAGACAAGAAATAAAATTGGTCTGGCCTTACTTGGGTATCTGTTGCCCAGTGGTACATGTCGTAGAGTGGTAGAGTGATGCAGCAAATCGTAAAGAGTTGTGTCCCTTAGGCATGTCATGTTTGATTATAATCTTTTCATTATTATACATCGTTTAGATCATTGAAAAGGTAACATTGCTTCACCTTTGGCTTTCCTCACTCATTAACTTGATTGTGGAAACCGAAACGCCAAACTTAAACCAAACTCACTCATTTTGGAGCCAACCATTTGATATTTGGAGTGAGTGAGGCCTTTATCATTATTCCCGCAATATCATGCCAGAAACCACAACACCTAGTGGTAAAAGCATTTGGTCATCACGTGGAAGACACTGGTTCGATTCCCCACATGGGTACAATGTGTGAAGCCCAATTCTGGTGTCCCCACTGATATTGCTGGAATATTGCTAAAAGCGTCATAAAACCAAACTTACTCATTCACCACAACACCAGAAATGAGCTCTACACATAGTAAACTGATGTGGGCAACTGAACCGGTGACTACATCAATGCCCCATATTTGGAGAGGATGTGGAGCCGAGACGTTCAAAACAAACAAAAAGCAGCAAAACAAACAAAGAAACTGGAGAAAATACGTTTCTTCAAAATAAACGAAAAATACAACCAACCCCCAATTATGTTACAGATTAAAATTCTGAACGACAGGCTTTCTACAATGAAACCATGATCATCCATTTATAATTCCGTAGTTATGTTTGATGATCATTTGTATTCACGTAATTGGTATTCCCATCAGAAACGCAGACAGGATTAGTTGCTGATAATTAGTTGGAAGCGAACGTAGCACAGTATCAATTTGGACTCCGACATAGATCTCTAGGGCGACATACCATACAAATGTCTTCGGATTGCAGGGCGGTGGGGTAGCCTAATGGTTAAAGCGTTGGCTCGTCACGCCGAAGACCCGGGTTCGAATCCCCACATGGGCACAATGTGTGAAGCCCATTTCTGGTGTCCCCCCGCCGTGATGTTGCTGGAATATTGCTAAAAGCGGCGTAAAAAACAAACTCAGTCAGTCAGTCTTCGGATTGCAAGACAATTGCTGACTGGTCTCATTATTCAAGCATTTACACATGGAAGCGGTCAACTTGGCAATATATGATATGCACTAGTGTAGTTATCCATTACTGAAAAAATGCAACCTAATATTAACAGGTATATAAAATTGTGCCAGACTAACCCCTACTTTTCGACTCAAATATCTTTTAATAAACTGAACACATCTGAAGAATATTTATCTTACTTCCTCACTAATTGTGATTCATCATCAAACTGGCACATGTGCGCATGTTGCTGCATTTTGTGTTGCCTCTTACTTCCCTGAGGGACTTACATCGCTGCTGAGAATGATAAATTTTAAAAGTCCGTCATCGCTTTGCCACTGACAGAATGGTTTGCATACAGTGTTTTTTGGCGACAAAGACGTCTTAAAGTCTATAGGTTTCAGGAAGCGTCGTAAAATCTATACGTTTGACTCATGTTCCACAAGCTGTGCGTCTGTTTGTCTGTGCGTCTAATGTGGTGATAGTGCTAACCCGAGAGTTTAATATGGACGGTTAGAATTGATCTTAAGTAACCCATGCTTGTCGTAAGAGGCGACTAACGGGATCAGGTGGTCAGGCTCGTTGATTTGGTTGACACATGTCATCGTATACAAATTGCCTAGATCGATGCTTATGCTGTTGATCAATGGATTGTCTGGTCCAGACTCGATGATTTATAAACGCTGCCATGTACAGTCCGTTTGAGACAAAATGATACCGATGAATTGCAATCTAAAACAAAAACAAATAGACAAAAAGGAATCAAACCAACGCGGAGTGCAATAAAAACAGCAGACCAACTCTATCAAAAAAATTGCACAATTTTTGTCAAAAAAATATAAAAAGTTGTTTAAGAAACTGTCATCATTTATTTGTGCGTTTTCCCAGTTTATGACAAGGGAGCAATGACAACTAAAGGAAGAGCTCGAAAAGCGAGATCCACGTGCATTAGTGCCGTCAGTGACATGTGATTACTGCTGATTGACTAAGTGAGAGAAAATGAAATTTGCTCTCGACGAAAAGTCTATAATTTACAAAGTCTGTGATTTCTTCAAGGGTGAAAATGAAAGGGGTAGACCTAAGTCTGCAAGTACTCAGTACATACAGCGCACTGCCTGTGCAGTTTGGGTGTCATCTCGCCAGCTCAAATGTTTGTTGCACTTGGTGTTGTATTCCCTCGACCGGTTGCGTACCGTTCTACCACTAATTGGTTTCAACCCAGGAATTATGCTAGCTGTTAAGCTTGTGATATTGGTATAGATTCCGTAGATGCACCAGCTGAATACAGTAGTCTTGATGACGTCACTAAGCGCAAGCTTTACTTACGATTAAACAAAACGTTTTCGTGAAGCGTGCCTAGCCATCATTGTGTGCTTTTCACGAGAGTAGAGTCAAACAAATAAATGTGATTAAAGTTCAGAATATATATTTCTAAGGTACACATTTACAAGAATACGCAGCATCAAAGACTATCCCGTTTTGTGTTGAAACACACACACACACACACATATAACTATCTGCTAATCTAGGAATATCGTCGTGACGAGTTACTTATAAAAAAATATTACTGACAAATTCGGTGGGTTTTTATATGTTATAGTTTCACTTCAGAAGTTCTATATGACCATGTTTTGTTACTGTGACACGCACAAGAAATTACTTTATCCTTCTTGTATCGTGACACAGCAACAGACATGCGACATTTGTTAGCATGAAGCTGATTCTGTCCTCTCCGACGTCCGCGCGACCGTCCTCTGTCGAAGTTGTCTCCCTCCGACGTCCGCGCAGTCCGCCTTAGTGGAACTTGTCTTCTATGAGGTCCGCGCGAAGCCTTGTAATTTGAAAGCTGCTCTGTGTGTTTCCATAATTCATAAACATGCTGATAGCAGTCGTTCAATAAGGGATCCACGTAACGCAATGTGGTGTATTTGTATATAGTCCAGTGGTCTAGCCTTGCTGCACACTTCGCCATCCGTAACAACCGGTACAGCATCTGAAACAGAACAATTTCGGATAACCGCTTCGGATGCGCTCTTGAAATATACCCATCAAAAGAAATGTAATGAGTGAGTTTTACGCCGCTTTTAGCAATTTTCCTTCCAGCAGTATCACGGTGGGCACACCAGAAATGGGCTTCACACATTGTACCCATGTGGGGCATCGAACCCGTGACGAGCGGACCCTTTAACCAATAGGCTACACCGCTCAGAAATGTAATGAAGGAATAGAACGAATCTAATATACCTTACACACACAGTCATGCAGTCACAGTCACTTGATTGTTTGGTCCAGACTCAATTATTTACAGACCGCCGCCATACAGCTGGAATATTGCTGAATGCGCCGTTAAACAACAAAAACAAAACAAAACCTTAGACACAGTCGTTATTTAATCCGTTGAGACACCAATGATTAATAAATTGTATTTCAAATCGTTTCTCGTTATGGATCCTTCAAACCCGCATCACATCTGAACTAAAAAGTTTATCCGAAAATGGATTTTCCCTTAATCACACCGATAAATATCAAGGCTGTCGTAATTGTGGAGTCTGTCATAACTATATCCGGAAAGTTCAAACTATATCTGGAACATAATTTGATTTCATCGTATCAAACAAATAGCGCCTTCACGCACATACGTTGGTGTGATTTCATGTGATCTCCGCTGGTGACGACAGCGTTGACGCGGCTGTGACCCAGTTGCTCCCCAAGACAGGGTAGGGGATTGGGAAGTGCCGCTTGCCTAGAGATAAAACACAACGTTGTACGTGTCGCCACACATGGCTACAGTTGTCCCGGCATCATGGGCGTCTTATGAAATACGCCATGTCACTTAGGAATGATAGCCCATCGCATAATGTCGCGATAACGAGGACAGAAATAACCTTTCCCAGTGCTAGGTACTGTTCGACCTTCTAGCCATGGTGTGAGGTGACACAGTTGCCGACGTATTAACTATTAGTTCATCAAACCGATCCCGCTGCACATGACGTCATTGGTTGCAGAATTCGAATGAAAGTGCAAAGATATGAGTTTGATCATGTCATGCCCGTTTACTACAACGACCAGGCCATCCGGTACTATTAATAATATTACTTTGACAGCTGATGCTGTTGCTGCCGATAGTACTTCTTATTACTACGGACCCATGAAGATCCTGGTTAGAATTGATCTTCAGCAACCCATGCCTGTCGTAAGAGGCGTCTAACGGATGGTCAAGCTCGCTGACTTGGTTGACGCATGTCATCGTATCCTAATTGCCTAGATTGATGCTCATGATGTTGATCACTGGACTTCAGGTACAGACTCCATTATTTACAGCCTGCTGCCATATAGCTGGAATATTGCTGGAATATTGCTGAGTGCGGCAACAAAACAGCCAACAACAAATACTTCGAATTGTGAGCTTTACGATTAAAACATTAGGGACAGAAAGGTAGTTTTGAGAAAGCCAGTTAGTTTACTTTTACGCTTTTTTGACTATATTCTTGTAACATGATCACGGCGGAGGGTACCATGCAAGTGCTTCTCACTGCCGTCTGTCTTCGGCGCAAGGCTCAAGGGCTACACCATCGATCCAATTTTGGAAAAGTGAGAGGGGTGTTTTTTATTTCATAATGGTTTCGAAGACGCGATTGACAAATAATTCACTTCTATCTGGTAGAGCAGAATTATTTTATCCACTGGAGCAAATTGTTTATTTCCGTATTTGTTTGTTGTTTAACGCCGCTGTTTGTTGTTTAAGACGACAAAATACTTGATATAAAATACGTTCTTATGCTTAAGAAATGAAGGACAAGGCGCTGTCATAGGGTTGAATACCCATCATTGTTATGAATAACATTTAATAGTTTTCCACAGATAAATAAATAAATAAATAACATACCAATCCAACTCAGCCTAGCATGATTTGGTCAGTTTCAAGTTAAACATTGTTTTTGGACTCTACTACTTACAGTATACATGTATTTTTAATATACACACCAACTTATCGATACCAGGACAACAACCACGACGTCTACTGCCATCTACTGCGACAACTTCATCTTCGTAAACGACCGTAATACAACCAGTTATCTATAATGCTTCAACACGCGTCTATCTGTGATAAACATTTCACGATAAGAAACATTTAAACAGCAAGAGGGGGTATTTAGAATTGTTAGGAACATTTAGCACTTGTGAACGCAACGGTCCTAACATCTGTGTAACCTTATCTATAGTCAGCTGACCTTGCACGTGCAGATTATGAAGAGAGGTCATTGTCAATAACTTATGACGTCAATGCAGCGTAGCATACGTTCCAGGGGAGGGAGCACTTGTTTGAGTACAGTCGAACTCATTTTCTCTCTCTTAAGTTATAAAAAGTCCAACAAAACCTTAAAGCTGTCATGTGGATGAGGTGTGGGTGAAAGTGCAGCGATCCACATTCAGTGCAAGATGACACACATTTTAAACAGACCTCGCCACTTGAAGCAGAATCTAAAAAATATCGCGACGATTAATTAATGGAGATAGTAGCGTGGAAATACTTGTAAAGTAAACAATACAGACGCTCGCGGTCATCTTACCGATCCTCGGCAGGGCCTAGATTTTCGAAGCTCTCTTAGCGCTTAGATAGTTGTAAGTCAATGCTAATGAATGGCACTTACGACTATCTTAGCGCTAAGAGAGCTTCGAAAATCATGACCAAAGATTGTAGGAGTCACGTGACCACAATCCGATGACGATGCTTATCGCTAGAAAAATGGGTATTTCTTGAAGGGCGCACTTGGCATTTTTTTCATTTCTCTGAAAAATAGTCCTTATTACTGTACTGGATTTTAACAGTTTATAACTATTTGGATACATGCAGCTATCTTCAAGCGTGTGCGTGCGTGCGCAACCCCATTACCAACACATTCCTGGAGCGGAGGACACCTGAATAAAGGCTTCTCACTTCCTGTTTCTTTCACCGATATATACTGTCCACCAAAAGTTGAGACTCGCTAGTGTAAATGTAGCCACTTACTTCAGTCAACTGTTTCAAACTAGATTTTGCAAAATATTCCATACTGTTTAAATGTATTGTTTACACGTGAACTGGTGTATTGGAAAACAAATTCGTAATTGAAAAGATTATTATCATGAGTTCAATAAGTTATGAAACTCAGTGAAAATTGGCGAATGCTTAAAAAACTGTACACCAAAACGCAGATGTTCACATGCACGGTATTTGCGCATGCTTTTCAGCAATCTGATGCATGATCTTCGTGCTTTTTCATCTGCATAAGGTTGTATAGTTGGTTCCCCTAAGTTAGTGGAGAATTTCATCTTCGATGTAACCATATATACTCATGGAGACGAATAAGGGAACACATAAAGTACAAGTGTTCCTCACGTTGAAATACATACCTTGTGAAGAAACCTAGGAAAGAATAAAGGAACACTTTCATGTGTTCCCTTATTCCTTTCTATGAGTATATATACGTAACATATAGTTGGTGCTTTAAGTGAGTCTAAACCTTTGAAGGGTAGTATATAAATTTCTGTCATGATATATGTCAATCCCGATTATCCGTGTAGCATACAGCCTAATTGATCATTCGCCGCCATTACTTCGTTTTGAAAGTGACTCAATCACAGTCTCCTATTGTTTGACCATATTTTATTCAAATATATATGTATTTATGCACATGTCTAAAGACATTTTCATTAATAGTATTTCGCAGAGCAGGGTTGCCGAAAAGAATGGTATCAAACGGCAATTGACAAGTTTTGGACATTTTAAAAAGAAATGGTTAGCATCTTCCACCGGAGCACCGCAATTGCAAGCCCTACTCTGATAAATTAATACAAAAAGAATTGCATGTAATGAACTACACGAATGTCTTAACTTCGTGTGTAGCATACTAGTATTTGCCTTTCTTTCACCAAATAGAAAATATTTTGGAACTTTGTCATTTTTTTCAGACGACTTAAATTTAAACGATGATGTTGAATTAGTGCATTTTGTTGTAGAGGAGAGAACATTTCAATTACTTGCAGAATCATAAATAAATGACGAAAGGTGCGAAATTTAGGAATAGCCAAATCTGATTTGTGATTGTGTTCGGAGGCGGTGGGGTAGCCTAGTGGTTAAAGCGTTCGCTGGTCACGCCGAAGACCCGGGTTCGATTCCCCACATGGGTATAATGTGTGAAGCCCATTTCTGGTGTCCCCCGCCGTGCTATTGCTGGAAAATCGTTAAAAGTGGCGTAAAACCATACTCACGCACTCACTCTTTGTGTTCGTCTAACTTTCAATGGTAACCAACCAGTTTCACTGTATACACTATATCTTGAAGCGAAGTTAGGCAATCCGGTTACAATTCTTGCTGCTTCAGTCTCATTAAAGTAGCACAGAATCTGTCTCGCTGGCGTGTCCGACTTCACTGGACATCTGTTGTCTCATAGATCGTACTGAGAACAAATCTAATCACAACAGAATGGAGATATATCACGCTGGAACACGAACCCTGATTTAACATTGGAGCTGAACTATTAGTCTCTGAATATATATATAATTTTGGTAGTACGAAATAACCAGACTTAAATTGAAAAGGAGTCTTTGTCACATGGGAGATTCAGAGATTCTTCACTCCTGAATTGAGTTTTATTGCAGATGATAACAGACCCTGAAGCTGACGAAATCTGGATTGCTTCATTTAGGACTTTAGCATTGCAGAAAGGTGAGCCAGCGAGTTTAGTTTTACGCCGCTTTTAGCAATTGTCCAGCAATATCACGGCAGGGAACAACAGAAATGGGCTTTACACATTGTACCCATGTGAGGAATCGAACCGGGTCTTCGGCGTGACGAGCGAACGCATTTACCACTAGGCTACCCTACCGTCCCCATTGCAGAAAGGGATGGACAGAATTGAAAATAGTACGATTCGAGGACTGTAAAACAGGCTATGACAACTGGCGTTATTTGCTATACCTGTAATCAGGGCCATTTCAAAAGGTAATCACTGGCGGGGCGTCAGCGGATGTACCCACGCGGGAATCTCCGGGATGACATCTTCAAGTAGTTTGTTGGTGTCGAGATGATAATGATTGTACTTGCCAAAAACAAACTGAACTATCGCTGACTTGCATATCGGAATACACCTGTTTTCCTATACCTAAACTGTTTCAGGCTGCCGTGACATAGCCGATACAGCGATTGCGGTGAAAACCACTCTCTCATTCACCACACTCAACGTAGTCTAGTATAAACTGTTTTTTCTGTAAACTATGTTGATTTCAGAGACTAGTTGTTAGTGTATACCCAACGCTAAGGACTAAAGTCTAAATACTAGTTTAATGCTTAGTCCCTAAATATACATAATTGTGATAGCAACAAATAGTCAAATACACACATTTACATTTGGGAGATTCCTGAACCTGGGGAAATCCAGACTTGCTTCATTTAGGGCTTTGCAGGAAGGGCAAGGCAGTAGGGAAAATAATGTGGTTCAGGGACTGTTAGACAGACTATCCAAGTACATATGAAATATATTTGTCTTGCCCAGGAAAGGTAGTTGATCGCTGCAAAAGAAATATCCACGATTTCCTGGCATGATGAATCACGATCATTCATGCAGGAACACACGTACATTATAACTTTCCTTTTCCCGTGCAAGTTTGATTAACGCCGATTCCCGATAATGTAATGTCACGAGTGCTCCATCCGCGCAGCCAACTGACACCTGGTGCATGAACAACACGTGCAGCAATGCACGCGGTATAGTGTCATGAGGTGCCTTCAAGTTCCGCCAATCAACACCTGTTGCATGAACCGCACGAGGAGCACACAATTCAATGAACTGTTTTCTCTGAATACAATAATCTGGACGCAATGTGCTTGATTCTCCGTTAATAGGTGACAAGGGCTTAAGTGTGAATGTGATTGAATTGTGCGTGGTTTTAGAAGGAAGGCGAGTTACAACTGGTCATATTTGATAGAATTACAACACAACCTTTAATTCCCAACAACCAGCACACCACACACGCAGAATTCGAATACCATTCTTATATACGACGTCCTGGGGACAGTTTAAACTGTTCACTATTTCGGCGTTCACGTCAGACACTAAACATCCGGTCTTTATCTGTATCCTGATAATGGGTCTTCAAGGTGAGATCTCATGGAGTTTCATCTTTACATAACAGTTGTGGGGCTCAACTGCTCACACGACCGCCAATATGGAAGGTAAGAGCTCCTTACGTGGTAAGAGTTCCTCCCGTTCCCCCATCCCAAATAATATTCATAAATATAGGCTACTAAAATTATTAACGAAACTTAACACAAGAATTACTAGAGAACTCACAAAATGACTAAAGTCCAAAATTTAAGTTAGGGTTAGGTTTAGGGTTGGGGGAACGGAAGGAACTATTTCCCCTTACGTACCCCCAACCTAATTTTTACTATAAATTATAGACTAAACTATAGTGTTTGCTATAGTATGTCTCAAAATAGAGAAGAACATTGTCATTAAACATAAAGAAATCATCATACTAGGAATGTATGCCCCTCCTGCCAGCTCGACTTTTTATGTTGCAGTCGATAAATCTAACTCCATCGACAAGCTAGATGAATGGCTCACTCAAAATCGTGACTCGAACCCAGAAGTTATTATCTGTGGGGACTTGAACGCCAGAGTTGGTAGTGGTAACAGCCCACCAGAGACATTTGATACTGAACGACTTGGACAGTGCCTTCCCGGATGAAGATCCTGTGCTACTTGGCCAGAGACACTCATGCGATAATGTTATAAACACGTTTGGTCGAAAGCTTTTAGACCTATGTTTTGCTCACAATCTTTACTTGTTCAATGGAAGAACAAATGGAGATTTGGATGGCACTTTCACTTACATTTCAAACCAAGGATGCAGTGTAATTGATTATTTCATTAGTTCTGTTGATGTACAACAAATCTGTAATTACATGCATATTGATACTCGTGTAGAGTCGAAGCATATGCCAGTGAGTTTACATTTAAAGTGTACTACTGCAGTGACAGACAATAATGCTAACTGTAAACATGAACAATCACAAGATGAGTGTAGATATAGGTGGGACGATAACAAGGCTGATGCATATTTACAAGTTCGAAGTTGTCTGTGGAGGAATGAGGAACTCAAAGATCATATAGAGAACGATGTTAATCATGCAGTCGATGAATTTGTTTCTGTCATTCTTGGAGCTGCTGATTGTATGAAAACGCCTCTTGGAAACAAAAATATCTTCAATAATTAATTCTATAATCATTACTGTAAATCTGCTAAAAGAGAAGCAAGACGCTCTTTGAGAAGATTCAGAAAACATAAATCAAACGAAACAAGAAGCATGTATTGCAAACTAAGGAATGGTTATTAAAATATATGTAGAAAGTCCAAGGCCATGTTTAAGCTCAAAAGGAGAAACAGATTAAATGCAACATTATCGGACCCAAAATCATTTTGGAAAGAGCTACGATCCATCTCTGGACACCACCTCAGATCAATAAAAACATGTGGCTTGATCATTTTAACACGGTTTTTAATAGACCTGTGCCCAGTGATACAGTAAATTGGGAATGTCAAGATGTTAAGGATTGTGTTGTTGATATTGATGCAACTATTCTTGAATGTGATTTCACTGATTCTGAAATTATATTAGCCTTAGATCATTAAAAAGAGGTAAATCTCCAGGTAATGACTGTATAATTGTAGAAATGCTTACATGTTCTACACATATTATTTTACCATTTCTAAGAAAACTTTTTAATACATTGTTTCAAAAAGGTGCTTTCCCTGAAAACTGGACTTTATATTGTTATCAAAGTACTGTGTAGGTGAAATGGTTAATGAACGAACGCAAATAACCACTCCGGAATGTTATAAAGTCCAGATGTGCTCGGTCTGACGGTACCACCTTCACGGCTCACATCGCGCGGACCTCAGAGTAAACAACCTTAGCGACCCCGGCATCTGATTGGCTTCAAGGAGTAGGCTGAGCACATTTGAATGTAGTGTATATGCAAAACTGACAGTGATGGGTGTGAGCTTAGCCGAAGGATGAGTGACGAACGCCAGAGAGGGTTTCCGGAGCAAATGGGGTATCTCAAGGGGGCTCAACACTAACATAACTTGATAACTGCATTTGGAGGTCAGTCCGGGTCTTCCAAATTGTTATCATATGTTATCAGTAAGTGTTGATATCTCTTATCACCTACACACTGCTCGTATCATCATGGATACAAGGATTCAACATTTGCAACAATAAAGAAATGCATGAAGCTCATCAATAACACAAACTTTGTAAACACTTCTGTTAGAAAACAAACAAAAAAATCCCTTATTGCTGGACCTCTTCATCTTTGATGGATTTACACTCAATATGACACTCACAAAAAAATTACAATACTTGTTCGCTTTCTAAATTTTAATTGTCCAAAGGCTTAGCTATAGACTCTGCAAATAAGGCCAAATAAACAAATAACCCCCAAAATATGCGGCCTAAAAACTGGATATCCATCTTGTTTCATTTAGGCTTATCTATACCTCTAGTTACAAACGAGTATGAAAAGACGTGATTTTTCAATATTTGTTCTCAAATTGTAGTGAAGGTCCCAGTGCCACCAAGCAGGTGTATTCAATTTTGCGTTACTTCCTGATAACCATTAGATCTTCTATGAGGGGAAATCACAGACATGAATTCTTGAAACAAGGAAAAGCATGCCCGTACTTATTTGCGAGCCAGTGACCACAACAGACGACAAATATTCCCATAACTCCCGTGTAAGCGAATCAAATATTTTGGTGGAATCGGTCCGATGGCATGTGAAGGTCCTTCCCTCCACCGCGACACGACCTGTCTCTCTGGCTATCGAAAGAAAACATAGGGTCTCATCAGGAACATAGTAGTCTGTCGTACAGACCCTGAAGCAAATATATCCAAGAAAGCCCAGGCAAGTCTAGAAAATGTGGCAAGTCTAGAAAATGTGGCAAGTCTAGATCAGTCTAAGGGCTCCTTTTCATTATATTATATTATTTTTACTATGAACATTTTTTCTGTAAAATATGTTCATTTCAGAGACTAGTTGTTAGTCTAGGAACAAAGCAGCGTCGGGGAATATGTCCAAGGAATATCTAATCAAGGATAAAACATATGACAGAACTGAATAGATCATTAAACTAACATCTTGTATGGAATGGTCCGTGTTCCTCAGATTCTATTCTACCGGCAGTCGGGTAGCTTAGTTAACCTAAGGTCTGGGTTCGATTCCCCTTACAGGTATGATGTTGTAAATCACTGGATGTTTTATTATAGAATACAGACCTTAAACCCTAACGGTTTTGATTCTACCACGAAATACTCCGTATATTAGGTCAGGTTTCCAGAAGCCATTCCGACTACTTTGACATATCACAAAACGGGTCTGTTTAACATAATCCATTTCGTAAAGAAGATTGCTCAAATGCGTCTGTATCCGCTGAAAATCTGTTCTTGGAACAAACATATTCATCCATAGAAGCGGTGTATTCCCATACTGCCTACAGGTTAAAACAACATGATACGGTCCAGTGATCAGGAAGTCAAGTTATGGGGAATACACCGATCTGACCTGTTCTACCCCTGCTAAAATGAACTTGACCAGTTAGTTGGTTAATGAACTGACCTTTATCCATTCTGAGAATTCTCAGTCTTTACATGGAGACATGGATATATCATGAAAAATTGATAAAGTTTTACAGTCTTTTACTGGTTTCACAATTACACACAACTGACAAGGATGTCTATTTCGTTGCCATGGACTCCGATATGTGACGGGACCCAGATAAAATATACATGTATTTGAATATTTTTGTTTTTGTGGTATAGTATTCTTCTGTGTATGTATTAGATCTGGTCTTTTTGTTGTAGAGTAATTTTTGAGAGCCTGTATTGAGCTTAAGGAATCCGTAAAAATGCAGATGGTAGTTTTTGTTTGGTCAGATGTTGTTTGCAAGGCCTGAACTATGGCTGAAAGTTCTGCTGTGAAGATACTGGAGTTTGCCGGGAGATTATAGAATTGTTTAAGGCTTTTTGGGGGTATGTAGATACCAAAACCAGTAGTACTCTTCTGATTTCAAGCACATTCTAACAGATCCCAAATTAATTAAACCACTCACTAAATATCTCATTCATACAAAATTATACCAAACAATCTAGCAACAAAAATAGTAATACCACTTTTTACCATTTTAAAAATTGTTAAAAATATGTATATGTGTTCTTTTATCTTTTTAAATCAGTTCTCTCTTTTTATCAAGTTCACCACGTGCTTACAAAGGTATTGATATTGTTCTGCGTCCCGGTGGCCGAAAACAAGTATTAGCGAAACGATATAATATCCGTTGCTGGTATTCATAGACAGTTTATGCATTTACATGGGACTGATTCGTCCTGTTTTCAGGAAATTGTCCGGATCTAAAACAAGAGACATTAACATAAATAGTCTTTGAAACTGGCCCTGAAACAATTATATCCATGAAAGCCCACGCAAGTCCAGATTGAATACATTCTCATGGCTCAATTGTATTACATTGAATTAAAATAATTTAAGATCTGCAATTACTTTTCTGTAAAATATGTTCATTTTAAAGACAATATATCAGGCTAAGTAATGAAAAGATATCAACCCACATGCATGTACGTTCACATCGCCTCGAGTTACAAAACCAAAACCTCAATATACATGTACTCTCCTAGACTAACAATGCCTTCGTGGTACGGCTCTATGATTCCTGGTGTCCCCCGCCGTGATATTGCTGGAACAGTGCTAAAAGCGGCGTAAAATTAAACTCGCTGGCTCACCTTTCTGCAAAGCTGAAGCCCTAAATGAAGCAAGTCTAGATTTCATCAGGTTCAGGATCTGTTATCATCTGCGAAAAAACTACCTCTCTTCATAAGTGAAGAATCTCCGAGTCTCCTATCTGACTAAGGCTCCTTTTCAATTTAAATGGGATTATTTGTTACTATCAAAATTCTATAAATTCAGACTAATCGTTCAGCTCCAGTGTTAATCCAGGGTCGGTGTTCAAGCCTGTTGTTGATATATCTCCATTCTGTTCATATCAGCCATTAGTTTTGTTCTCGGTATGAATTTTATGAAACAACACTAAAACAAATGTCCAATCAATTTTAGTCTGTCTCACATTCTCTGAACCACATTATTTTCCCTACAGCCTAGCCCTCCCTGCAATGCTAAAGCCCTAAATGAAGCAAGTTTAGATTTTTTCAGGTTCTGAATCTCTGGTCTCCATGGGGCTCCTTTTCAATTTAAATGTGTGAAGCCCATTTATTGTGTCCCCGCCGTGATATTGTGGGAATATTGCTAAAAGCGGCGTAAAACCCAACCACTCACTCACTTTTCAAACAAAGTGGTTTATTTCTTACAGTCAACATTATATATATTAAGAAACTGAGCGTTAGTCTAAATCAAGTTGGACACATCAGCCTTTATTCAGGTGTCCACCGCTCCTGTCAGGTGTCCGCACGCACGCACGCACGCACGCACGCACGCACGCACCCATCCCTAGACATTTCGTCCCGTTGGTGAATTGAACGCGGGTATTCGGCAGGAAATGCTGGGTCACACGCCTATGGTATACAGAAGCAGAGTAAGTGAGTTGCGTTTTACGCCGCTTTTAGCAATATTCCAGCAATAGGAATGGGCTTCACACATTGTACCCATCTGGGAACCCGGGCCATGGGCGTGACGACGAACGCTTTAACCACTAGGCTACCCCCACCGCCCCTAAAGAAG